AATGCTTTTAGTAATATCAAATAGTGTAATTCCGCCTAAGAGAAGTTAGACAGTTCGTTTTGTGCAATAAAACATAGACAGGATGGGTCAGATGTAACCAGACCCCACTTGGTGTTAGAAGTCGCAAACGAGCAGGGCAAAATGTTATTACATAAATTTACAGCAAATATTTGAAATGTAAGCCATCGAACAATGTCGCAACTGTATTGCAACTGCCGCACAAGTTTACATTTGAAACATCTGTTGTAAATTGGCATAATAAAACCTTGCTCTATTTACTTGGAACTTGTAATAATAATAAGGGTTCGCATCATCTAGGCCACCCCGTATATGGAATTATCTGCTCTGCTGTAATTTGTCTCTGAAATTGAGAGCTGTACGGTTTTTGGCTAGGGAGCACACCGCGTAGGGTATTAGTTAGAATTGTGCAAGTTGTGTCTTCTGCGCCCCGTCCTGAATTGGTATCGAACTCTCATCCGTGGCTCCTTGACGCCAGGCTCTACCTGAGAGTCACACCGCGATAACCGGTTCGAAAAGCGGGCCAAACCAGATGGGGGTGTCCGGTGCTCTATGTTCCGCACACCCGGTAATTCCTTTCCCATTCCGCCCCTCCTCCCTTCCTTCCTCCCCTCGCCCCTTTCCACCATTCCGTCCCCCCTTCCCTCCCCCCTCCAACTCATTCCCTGCCTTCCTTCCATTTCCAGAGTCCTGAGGTATGCCTGACATGCAATCCCCGGGGCGGCCCAGGATAACTCGGAGTGCTCTCCCACTAAATCAAGCCGTGAGCCAAAGTGGAGTTTGACAGATATTTGGGATGTCTCAACAACCCCATTTAAGAACAGGACTGTTTTCTTTCTCGTGGGAAGTCGCTAGTAGAAATTCCCTGAACGAATGCTGAAATCACGTCATCTGCACTCAGACTGTGACTCGCAGATATACAGCTCACAATCGAAACAACCAAACAAAAACGTTCATCCTCATCCACCCCGCCCCACCCGCAGGCTTCCTGAGTGACTCTGCCCAGTCTGGCAGCCCAGAATGTTCGTTCTCTTCCAGGACCAATTTTGCCACCGTCGTCAGCACCCACGCGCCCCCAATAAGCAGCTTCGACGAGGTGAGGAACATGTTCTTTGAAGACCTGCACGCCCTCCTGAGGTTTGACCTATTAGGACTGTAAATTCTCACGCTGCATCAAAACCAACGAGGAGGTGGTCCTCCGGATCTCCAAAGCTGACTAGACCTTCGGCCGGCTACAGGCCTTCGTCTGGAACATCCACGAACTCTGACTCAACTCGAAGCTTGAAATGCACAAGGCGAGCAGCCCTGACAACGCCAAAGCACAGAGCATAGGCATGAACCGTCTAGGTCAATCGAGCCAGGGAAATTACTCAGTTCTACCTCAGCTGTCTCCGGAGGATAACAAATCTGAACTGACAGGACGGGATACCCGAAACGGAAGTCTTGAAACTGACCGTAATCCGCAGAGTCCAAGTGGACATCTCGCGAGGATGGACGAAACGCACGTACCCAAGTGACCCTTCTACGGCGATGTAGCCACGGGTGATCGCCAACTAGGCGGACAAAAACGACGCTACAGGAGTACCCTAAAAAATCTTTCATGCAAACGCAAATTGGCCCCGAGACCTGGGACAACCTCGCCCAGGACCGAGCGGTCTGAATAAGGGCAGTGAAAACTAGGACAACACCCTGCAAAGCCGACCAGTTCACTGTTATCAAAGCCAGAAGAACGGATCACACTTCTCGAGAGTCCCCGATCCGCAAGACCAACACCCAACCCCTTCCAACATGTCCACGCTGCCAACGAACGTTTCGCGCGCGGATCGGCCTCGTAGGACATCTACAGACACGGTGCAACAATAACTTAGCCGCTGCCTCCACAAGCACCCACACTGTCACCCCTGCATCATCCGCCACGACGGTGACCATCACTATCACCGCCACCGGTGATCACATTCCTGGTGTCACGACCTCTCAGTCGACGTCGTCGACTCCCACCACTTCTATCACCCTTTTGCCATAGCTGCGACGACGATTACCACCTAGACAACCCCTACCAATGGTGAGAACACTCCAGACGCCCCCTCAACCAGCACTCTTACCACAGGCAATCTGGAGTCGAATGCAACCTGACCTCATTGCGATCCTATCTTCACTTCATGCATCGACTTGGTTTGTCACTTATGATTCCATCGTACAGAGACAGGCGAACTAGTGCCTGGAGCACCAACATACATCCAGCGGAGCCGTCTCAACTGCCTACGCACATTTAATTACTGCACGTGCCTACTCGGCCGCATGCACATCCATGAGAACAGGGAAGGAGAGGAAGTAGAGGGTGAGGTCGCCTCTAAGCGTATATTGCTCACTATAAACCGTTTGATGCGCTTGACACAATCACAATGCGTTAAAGGTCGCGGCTCGGAAGATTGCTAACTGACGGTTCAACTTAAGTATCGGAAAGAATAATCGTCGTTGGTCATTTCAAAACGGTGACCTAGGCCACACACTTATTAACGTTAAGATTTAGGAATCAACGGGCAGACCGGCTGCTAAGTCGGCAAAGACTGTCATGAAGTGTGTACCTGTCTGCGCCAGACCTGGTATCTCTTCAGATTTTGAGATCTTCAGCAAACCTGATGGCCCTGCAATCCACGTTGTCAACACAGTCGTTAATGTAGACTAGGAAGTGTCTGCCCGAGGAATGACTCCTGGGGACACCACTTAAAACACATACAGGGACAGGCTTCGAGACACCAACCCATACGATTTTAGATCTCCCCGTGAGAAACTGCTTTCCATGCCAACAGCTTGCCTCTTATTCCAGTTTTGGAAAGCTAGCGAATTAGTTTGTGTAAAGCGCTGTCGAACCTCGTCCTAAATTCAGTGTGGATGACATCAACACTATCCTCCTCGTCAACTGCTTAGTCAAAAGCAACAAACTGGAAAGGCAAGAGCTGTTCTGTCTGAAGTCGAGCTGGAGTCCTGAGAGTACGTGATGATCCTCCAGGAAATTAACAGTCACCTTCTTAAGTATGGCACCCATTACTTTACGACAATAAGTTAGGCTAACGGGATGACAATTACTGACACTAGCTC